AAAAAATTTTTTATACGACCTCTGTTTTCTAAGATATTTATATAAATATCTACAAAATTATTGGTTTCAATAATTTTTTACTTGAATTCTATCAACTTTACCGAAAAGTATTAAGAGATAAAAATTACTTATTTTGTTTTCAAAGAGCTCTGAGAATTTTTTCAGAATTTTGTGTTAACTTTTTAGTACTTCAAGAAAATGCAAGAAAATGCAGTACTAAAATATTAATATACAATTCTGAAAAAATTCTCAGAGCTCTATGAGAACAAAATAAATAATTTTTATCTCTTGATATTTTTCGGTAAAGTTGATAGAATTCAAGTAAAACATTATTGAAACCAATAATTTTGTAGATATTTACGTAAATATCTTAGAAAATAGAGGTCGTATAAAAAATTTTTTCAAGCAACAGTTGTTTGCTTTTTCACGTAGAATAAAATGCCGTCATCTACATGCTAGATATAGAATCTACATCTTTAAGTCAATTCCGTATTTTAGGAGTAAGCGTATTTTATTCAAAATATCTATTGTATACTGAAATTCGAGAAGGATATATTTCTTGCTTTAGTATATTTGATTGCTTCTATTTCCGAAAGAAGAAAGTGTTATCTAACATTGTCATATCTTACCTTCATACGCACATGACGAATCATTACATACTAACAATAACAGTTGTTGATTTCGTTATATATACGTAGTGCATGTTGGCGAGATAAATACAATATCGTATGTAAAAGTATAATAAATACGTAAATATTATACATCTAGATAAGATATGTGAGAAAATATACAGGGTGTTTGACAATATCAAAGCTAATATATCGCTGGAATAGATCAGGATAAGTAATAGAATCGATACCTTTCTCGAAAAAACTGCATAAAATTTTGAATTATTAACGAAGAAGAATTTGTACCGAGCGCTATACGGATGCTGTCAAACCTGCATATGACTACTATAACCGACACTATTAATCATAACGATCGCGATGGACAATTTTGAAATATTACTGTCTAATTATAAGCTGCTACTGATATTAATTGTACAGAGCCTACGTTCTTCAATTATACAAGATCTATGCGTGATTGTAGGATGTTTCCTCGTTGAAATGAGAATTGCACGTACAAGAGACGTGTAAAGTTTGCCAAAGCAGACAACGTCATTATCGAATGTTATGAAGTAAAAAATATAAGATCTCTGTTTATCTGAGAATGTCCGACACATTTGTTTCTCTTTCTTTTTTCCTTTCTTCCTTCCTTTCTTTCTTTTGGCACTAGCTTAACTTTCTTTCAATATCTCTTCTTCTGTTTTGTAAATTTTAAAAATAATTATCATATATACCATATATAAACTGTGAAGTGATGTATATTATTTTACATCAGGTGTGCATATTTATATGAATGTTTATTATATGATATGAATATTTATTATTTTCAAACATAATTTACAACTTAACATTTCTATGCAAACACTGTTTAATATATCTTCACACAATGAAATCATCAAATATATAATTTACAACTTTTTAAAGATAATAAAATTTAGAAGAACCTATTCATTATTTAGGACTTGCATTTGTCATAACAATTACAATTGTAGTAACAATTTCAATTATTACACAACTATCGATTAAATTATTATTATTACGCTAACTAATTACATAATAATCGATTTATTTGTTGATTCAGATCATAGAATTAATTCCATATCCATCGCTTTAAAACATTTCAAACTTGTTCAATTCCTTTATTATTTGCCGACTTCGTAACGCTTTCAAGTCATAAAACGTATTCCACAGCCGACGATCATCAACAGGAAAATTATGGCGTGCATATGTGTGTATCTGAAACAATGTGACAATTACAATTATTAACATAATTTCTTGCTATTTCATAATTAAAGCAAGTCAACGAATACAAAAGAAAACAGACGTAAAAAAAATTATTCGAAAAGTGAGTAAATCGCTAAGGGACTTGGTGTTGTAAAATCTGCATCCATCGAGTCCATACTTATAAAAATTTACCTGCTCCAATGCTTCCATTGTATCCACATTCATAAAGATATAAGTTAGCAGAGTGCTCTTTTCAAAATCAGTGTGGAATCTGTAAGATTTCGAAGTCTTGGTCTTAATAAACATAACTCTGCGCCTGGCGGTATGATAAATAGCATGCATTTCTCTCACGAGGAAAAATACCTGTTCAATGTTTCATAATAATTTTCTAACACATATTTTAACACAATAGGCTTCCTCAAATGTTTTTTCACAATAGTAAGATATATCTTTCCCATTGGGAATCCTATGTGCTCTCCGAGATTTGCACGTAACATCAGAGATAAATAATTTGTAATGATTTTAGCATCCTCTGAACAAGTCAAGTAGTCTAAAAACCCCAGCTTTTTATGCTCAATACTATCTTCCAAAATATTGTTCCAGTTAGTCGAGGTTAATTGCATCATCCCTGCACATAATACCCAGTCCTTCCACAACAATGGAATTCTACATGAAAAAAATAAATAAGTAAAATTCATATGATATAAAGAGCGGCCAAGTTTTCATAAGCTTCTAGCCTCATTTTATGGTATTTGAAATCTTAAATTATTTTCTGATAAAATTGTAACTATTGATGAGTAGATTAGAGATATATATCAAAATGATGCGTCTTATTATATAGGAGAAAATAGCCTAGAAAGAATTTCGAAATCAAGCCGACATAAGCAATTTATTAGAATATTAACAAGGTTATTAGAATATTGGCAAGGTTTTCTATCATTTCTCTTATCAATACAACAAATCTTATGACCCATAATGTTGATAATAAGTCGACTGCAGCTGCACTAATGATGATTTTTACTAAGCTCCGATTAATTTAATCGTCGATTAATTCCGTTGTCACCAGCAAACAACTATTGGCTAATTCTGTTAGTGTGAGCTTGATATAATAGTTATCCTAAATTAATAAATATTATCAGCATTTATAATCCCTATTATATTTTATTGATATTAGACTTTTTTTTATCTCCTATTTCTTGCAACAATTCCTATATGTTTCCCGTAAGGGAAATCCTAATGATATCATTTATTTCGACAAAATACGTATCTTTTTGAGCCACTTACTTTCAAGTGAGAGGCACATCACTTTGATACTTGTCTTTAACTTATTCATGAATAGCTATAATTTTATCGAAAGATAATTTAAGTTTTCGAATGCCGCAAAATGAAACGAATGCTGCAATTTTAAATAGAATCATAAGTCTTGTAACTTGTTCTCGTAAAATATGTAAAAACTTATGAGTAGATTTACAATTCTTTGCAATATTATGTGTCGCATAATTACTCGTAAATATCTACGATTTCATGTAATTTACGATATTTATAAGTGATCGCACGACATATGTTGCATATAATTGTAAATCTACTCATAAATTTTTACGAATTTTACGAGAACAAGTTACGAAACTTACGATTCTGCTTAAAATTGCAATATAAACTTGGCCGCAACTTGATCTTTAAACACTTATGACAAACGCTTGCGATCTTATTTCTTGATTCCATGATTCATCAATCATATGTTGTATTGTATGTTACAGAGATACGCTACACACACAAATGAAAAATAATAAGTAAAACGACTCTAAAGAAAATTTACGTTTTCGTCTGATTGTAGATATATGTAATCAGTCGATCGGTAGCGGCTTCCCTGCAACTGTCGTGACCAAGTTTACAGGCCCACGTTACTGTTAATAATCTTAACGACTTCGTCATCTCATTATCTCCAGGACGTTCTTCGTATCCCACGTTCTGAAGAAGTTCGTGAAGTGGATATATAAATTGTTGTTTCTGAAAGAAAGTTACATCACATAAATCATGCATGAGTACCTTGTTATTTACGATGACGTTATTTCTGTGCGGGTAGACACTAGATGTGCCTAAAACTTTTAGATTTACACACGGAATGTTATTCTCTGCCGTGATTTTGTGCGATATTTATAAATAAACGTATATATAAAAAGAAGCTGGCTATCTTTATCAATGAAATTTGTACTCACTGTTGCAAGTCCTCTTGGATGCTGCAAATAAGCCGACATATCGACCATGATATTAAACATAGGATACCATGGTATGTAATCCGTTTCATACCTTAGATATTGAATGATCTCGATGAAGATAAATAAATTGAGTTCACCCTTTTTCGTATAATAATATGCATCATTGATTAGTTGAGCACGATTGATAGCGGGTATGTTTGAATAATTGTCAAACTGTAGGTAAGAGGAAATTGTTAGCCAATTCTTCAAGTCGTAATTAATCCGATAAAAACCTGTCAAGAAATTGCAAAAGATATTAGGCGTTTAACATATTCTCGATTGTGCTTATAGGGAAATATATAATACTTGAACGATTAGTTTGTTTATACAGAGCTTATTACAGGGAGTTATGTAAATCACAGAGTTGCAAAACTTCTTAGAGGACGCTTGAACGGTTTATAATGTTTATGCAACGGTGAAGAATTTTATAACATACACACACACACACACACACACACACATATATATATATATATACATATGTATTTATATATTATATATACTATACACATGATTCACATATAAATATATGTATACAAAATATATATACAAAAATATAACATTAAACATTAATGTATATAATTTATCCGAAATATTCTACAAAGTTCACAGCAGTTTTTTGCTGTTGTATTTATAATTATACATTACGCGTATGGAAACTTTCGAGATTACAAAGAACCTGTCACAGAATAAACAATGATGAAAACCGAGTTAAATTTATTAATCTGCGCTTACCAGTTAAGCCCATGTTGAGTATGTAAAAATCAGTAGGATCAATATCTGCGATAACTTCCACTTGATTTGATTCAAGCCAAATAAAATTCGTGATATTGTAGGAAGTGAGATTTGATCGCGTAACATAATTTATAGGTATCGTAGGCCAATTATTTTGTCCTTTCGTCATTTCTGACGTGTACTGCACTGTGAGTCGATGATCCTGTTTAATGATCCTCAACGTAGGATGATGTACTGTCTTTATCCATGAATATATAATTTCTCTTATTGTATACCTCCTGTTGTCCTTCTGCAAATAGTGCTCCTCCAGAAGTATCCACAAGTTCTCGGTACTAGCGAAGCAATAATAACTTTAATTATCAATACGAAATCTTAACATTGTTGACAGTTTCTTGCCAGAGATTTTATAAGGGAACGTAATAATATTATGTTATTTAACCATCTATATACATAACATCACATATATGTATAAATCTTAAACAGATAATGTGATTGAAATTGGTTGTGTACACGGAATAGATTATAATTCAATAAGGAATCGTGTTATTTTGCAGTTGTTCCGTCTAATTAATAAGATTCAAAATGTACAAACTTTGGGAAAGCTATACAATGATTAAATGTATGATCACAAAAGTCACAGATAAAAATAATATAAAACTATGTTATTAGGATATTAAAGATAAATATTACAATTAAAAGTAAATATTACACTCACCGTGTATGTATATATTTTTCAATGACCTGTTGAAAAACTTTCGGAGTTACAAGGCAGCTCAACATGCGAATTAGTACGAATGCTACGATAATCCACATTATGATGTTTATGAAATTTAGATAGATTCGAATAACTGATTAATCTTTACTGAATCTCCCACCTTTTTTATGATACAGCAGTGAGTAAAGTAATCCATGAATTCCATCATCGCCCTTAGCTTTCAGTATAATAGATTCCAGCTCTAAAGAGTAGTTACTATCTAATGCAGTCTGTAGATTTTGGACTACGAATAGTTGCATCAATTTGTCAGTAGCTAAATTCGTTGTCAATAGCTAAAAAGAAAAGAGAAAAAGCATTTTGTCACCATTGATATACGATATTGAAGAACTTGTTTAACAAAAGAAATAAGTGCTATCTCATGATCAAAAGCTTTTAGCATCGCTTAAATATTCTTAGTGGATTAATAATGTGCTTGAATTATAAAAGTGACTAATTTGTTTTGCTCATACTAATAACAAGAAATAACCTCGGCTGTGATATGATAGCTGTAAAAAGACGCGAGGATCTCGTTTATCCCGATGTCATTCTTCAAATAAGGACTAGCATAGCCGATAAACCATTGACGTGCTATTTCATATGCTATCAATTTTACTACCTCAATATTCTGACCGAAAGTTTCTGAAGTACTATCATAAAAAACATCCTTTTCTCTGTAAATCGGAAAAAGATATACTTTTATTTAAAATCTCCTCGTCATTAATACGTAAGTACATAGTATATTAATACGTAAATTCAAAGCGCTCATTTATTGCGTGTAAGTGCTAAACGTATTGTATGAATTCTCAGTTAAATGACTTATAATTTGTTCAAGCTGCGTTGTGAACATTGTGAAAAAATAATTGTGTGTGTGTGTGTGTCGAATATATAAATTTTTCATATCTCATAACATGAACCTTTAAGATTAAATTTTTAATAAACACATACATACATATTATATGTATTCATGGTTTCTAAGATTGTGTTATAACACAAAGTTGATGTTTTATAAATACCACGACGTTTCGATGCGTATAGTAGGAATATATAGTTAATCGGTACTATATATATTATCGGTTATATATAGTCATCTTTTAAGCAGATAATATAAACTTCCTTTACAGCAGATAATATAAACTTCAACTAATAAAAACATTACATCAATATTATAACTTCCCACTCAGCAATGTAAGTGTAATAGCTAACATAATAGTTACATTGTTGAGTAAGAAATTATAATATTGTTGTAATATTACTGTTTGTTGACATTTACTGGATAATGAGAATATGGAAATCGGTAAATTGTTAAATCTCTTAAAGAGAAGAATAGCAATTAATGCAAATGCTATACAATTACGAGAAATACTTTGATATCAGAGTTACAGCTCTTGATTTCATGGAAACATTAAGAAAGAAAAAAAAAACAAATTCAATTATAGGAATTTTCAAAGATTTCTTCACGAAAATATTTCAAAATAGTACATTTTTCGTTTTAACATACGCATTCATATATTTTAGAACGTTTACTCTTTCTCACTCTGGGCAATATGCACTTTTTTATTTTATAAATAAACGAATCTCTTTGTCCATTAACAGACGTGCATATTCTTTCTCGATACTGCCAAGTTTGATACGGATATATGCGTGTTCTCGAATTTTAGGGTTTTTAGAATTCTTTATGGTGTTAAGGATTTTAATAATGTTTCAAAGATGTATGTTGAGTACCTGTAAATAATAAGCTGGCGTCCTCCTGCGGATTTGATAGGTCCATTAGGAACGATGATATGATCAATTTTCTCAGTGACGTTTAAAACATCCATGTTTGTATATTCGACAAGATAAAATATGATTAAATGTGTTATGTCCTGTGCATATTTGAATCTTCTCGTCCTATTCGACTGGTGCCAAAAGAAGTAGATGTTTTTGTAATCATTATGCATTTTCATCTTATTGACCATCGCGATCGCTAACTGATATGTTGGCATCGAGGAACTTTCTCGAAAACTTGTCAATTCGGTGCCGCCTTTTTCAATCGACTTGTATCTTATAGGCGCACTCGAAAGAACAGTATAATTTATAGGATGCCTGATGGAGATGTTGAAGGATGCTTTTATTTGCGGAACGTCCCAGCATGGAAACAGTCTTCGTATCGCGTTTGATTTATATAGATTCGTGATTAACCACCTATTGCTTTTTAAGAAGAAGTCTTTGTTAATGATAAATTTTCAGCAGCTGAGTAAAGTTGACATAAAATGTTACAGTAATCGATTTCGTTTCTGGCGACAAAAATATAAGAAAAATGTTTTCCCCTATTTTATATCCATAGCGAATAATGATGTTAGCAAATTTAAAAGAGGACGTAAAGTAGAATTATAATATTTCATTATTTACTTACTTGTTGTGGTCTTCATTCAAAAAGTATGGAAAAATGACTTCGTTATAAAATAATGAAGATTCAAGTTCCAAATGTATACAGTAATATCCAGTCAATATCCTTTTCTCAAACGTCAGAATCAAGATGTCATTTTCTTCACAATAATCGAAATTTTTCAGTTTATTATGTGCATACCCGTAGTTACAGTTCGACAGTGAATTAATCGTCATAATCTTTGATGCCAGAATATTCGCTTTTATTTCGCGCCCGTGCAATTTTATGTTTCTCAGTGGTAGTTTAACATGAATCATAATATCAGCTATGGTTATTATAGTTCTCATTTCCGGATTTATCGTAAGTTTAACATTATATCTGATTGGTACTATTTCAATGATCGATGTAGGCTCAGAAATAAGCGAGCAATTTATGGAATTGTTAAGATTTGAATCAGCCGATGCCACAGTAAATATCAGGACAATATTGAAGAATAGTTTTACAGATGATTTTCCCATTGTCACCACAAGTATCTACACAAATAGTTTATTTTTTAGCTGTAATACTATTCAATATTCCTGAAATGTTAATGTATATGTGTGTATGTGTGTGTGTGTGTGTGTGTATAAAATATTCTTTTAATTTTTATTATAATAAAAGAAATGAAATTGGGATAAAATGTGTATCAGAACAAAGAGACAACCTTGTTTATCAAAAAAGACAAAATATGTTCTTCATGTATACGTACATACATACGTACATACATGAGCGGATGTACGCCTCGAACCAGACATTTAGGCCGGTATTTATAGTCGCATGTTATTTCAAGACCGTCTTAAATAATGTCTTAAGATGCGAATACAGCCCTGTGATTGATTGATGACATCTTAAGACAGTACTTAAGATGATCTTAAATATAAGATCGGACTATGAATACCGGTCTTAGTGTATAATCAATTTTTCCGGATATAAGATAAAACATAAACACTGTCGAGTGTTAGTTTGAGATGTGAAAATTAAACAAAACTGTAGTTATAGTATTTAGAGTATTTACATGATACATGATACTTTTAACGGACATTGAAGTAATTTTTCGTAAGAAACGATTAGAAATAAAGTCAGACTAGTAATCAGTTAGTGGTAATATGTTCTGTTGACAAATATAATTTGAAATTATAGCTGCTTTTGCAAATAGTAACCGTTATAGAACTATTAACAATATACATACTCTAACAGGGTAAAACATTAGGCCAATATTGAACCTAGCAGCCATATGTGCTGCTCGAGTAATCATTTGCGAAAAACATGAAATATTTAAGTATCTTGAGTCTACACCTCATAATGCAATTTACATCGAATAAAACTATTTATATTGAAAGATGAATAAATTGGGATACATAATTGAACTCCCTATTTAATTTTAGGTGCAATACATAAAGAATATATATATATATTAGAAAAATATAATTAATAATTATACTTTTCTAATATGTATGTAATTATAATATACAATTAATAATAAACGACATATCTAACTGAACAAGCTACGTTGTTATACTGTGTCCATATTTTTCAGGAATATGCATATTTTATCGAGAATATTCACAGTACATTGAAGTCTGAACAGAATACCCACATTTTTTATTCCGGTGCACCGCATGTATGTCGAATTTGTTGGGCAAAATTTCCCTTCAATTGTTACTTACAGTCGTTGTTACTTTTGATGCTTCGCTTGCCCCTCTCGAAAACAGAACAAGTGAGTTCAGATTGCTCTATCTTACTTTCCCGACGAGTCATTGCAAACTAACGATAGCAATAGTTGGTATCGTTATATGTACGAAATGGCTAATAATCAAATGAATCCAACGACGTACATTGCGAATGTTTCGTATCGTTAGTGTGTACATGCTAGTGACTTACTAAAGTAACATCTTTTCAAAAGTATTTATGTTTTGGAAATTTGCACATTCACTACCAAGTATTATATTTTACGACGTATGTCATCCTGTGATGCGCGCGCAAAGGAAAAAGAGTCATATATCGTTACAGGATATCCGAAGTGTACGATATTTACGGTTAGATATTAATAACTATAACTTGCTGTCAATCGAAATATCATGATAGATTTTTAGATTGCAAAATATTCTGGTAGAAATTATGAAATAGTATGATTTATTAAATAACAATAACATAAAAATTATAACATAGTACACAGGTATAATTCTAAGATTATAAAGTACATATGTACCAGTCTCTTCTTTACAACTATTCTCGTTTCCTTCATAGAGTTTCTCCTACTTCTTCATAAATAATAATGCCCCACACACACACCAGCTAGCAGTATGAGTAATTATTTATATATTATGTTGTACAAGAATTTACATTCTTTAATATCAGGAGTATGTTTTAAATAAATGCTCGATGTTATGAAATACCAAAAGTTCTAGCCTAAACGTGCAACTCTCACGATGATAATAATTGTCATGAAAATTATTTCAATTATTCCAGATGATGTTAATTCTGTTGCTAATTTGGCAAATTATTAAATTCTTCAAATATCAGTATCTTTAATAATAATAAATATTAAAAAAAGGTTTAAACTTGTTTTCCAATTTACTTATGTATTTTTCCCGATAGTACAACAATTTGTTAAAGGAGGTAGCTTGTAGAGTGTTTGAATTCCAATGATATTTTGTGTATGCAAAATCTTTGATCTGAAACAGATAATTGAATATTTAGCGATATTAAATGTTAATAACACAGTTTGCAGCGAGCGTGATAATGATAGGTTACGACATCACATTGATAATTTTTTAACATTTTAAACTAATATATATTACGTATACTTAGAAATATACCAAGTGATTAAATAAATTATTTAAGAGACGAAAAAGAAAATATATATGACTAAAAAATTTGACATGATATTTACCCTTTCGAGCTGTTCTCTCCTATATATATTCATAATCATATCACTTAATAAAATGCCGCTACGAAAAACAACTGGAAATCTGTAAAATTGCCAATCATCCAATTTAGAATTAATGCATACAACTATACTTCATGATAATAAACAACAAATATATTCGCCATGAAGAAAAGTACCTGTCTAATATTTGATTATAATTCTTAGTCACAAAATGTAACACAAAATCATTTTTCACATGCTTTTTTATAATGGTACGAAATATTTGTCCCATAGGTTGTATTGTGTCCGCGAAATAATGCTGTTGCAGTATCAATTTCAAATAATTTATGATGATTTCGTGATTCTCAGAACAAGACAAGTACTCCAAAATCTCCATACTTCTGTAAGTTTTTACAGCTGCTTCCATAACATCGTTGAAAATGGTCTGGTTTACTCCCACCAATCCTGAACAAAGTACCCATTGTTTCGATATCCGCGGAACTCTACGGTATTTATGAAAATAAATAAATACTTACAATGAAAGTTTGTTTTTCGATATTGTTTATAATATTTATGAAACAGTGCGAGGAATAGCAAACAAATATATAAAAAATCATGTGCCATGACTGAAGAAAGAATTACCTGTTCAGTGTCTTATTTTCCATATATTCCATCAAGCTAACGCTTGCCAGGTCTGTACAGACAATGTTTCCAACCTGACAAGCCCACTTCCGTCCTAATAATATTAACGACATTCTCATGCCATCATACTCTGGCTTTAGTTCGTATCCCACTTTTTCAAGGAGAGTTTCTAATATGCTTTGATAGCGTGCCTGGAAACCATTACACAATATCGATCTTGTGTAAATATCTTGTTGTTTACGAAGATATCATATTTATACGAACAAAACACGTAATATGCAAACGACATATTCAAATTTTGCAAACGAAATGCTTTATCATTCCAAGGCTTCATGTTTCTTTTAAGTAACCGTGCATTAAAAATAATAGCTAATATAAATATTGTTCATGAAATTTGTTCGTACTCACTTTCAAACGTCTGCCTTCCCAAAGTTTAATGTATTCCGATGTATACGTCATAATTCTAAACATAGGATACCACACTATATAATCCTCTTCATTGTTAAAATAAGCAATGATATTAAAGAATACATCTCCCTCATTGAGTTCCCCAATTAACGTAAGATAAAACGCATCATTGATTAGTTGAGCGCGATTGAGAGGAGGAATGTATGTATAATTGCCTAATTGTAGGTAATTTGCAATATTGATCCAATTGTCTACTGGGTATTGAACGCGAACGTAAGCTGTCGTAAAAGAAAATCATATTTATAACATACTTTTCAATAAGTAAAAAATTTTTAATACAATGTTATTACAACGAAAATTCTGGAATATTTGACGTTGTCAAATATGTGGTTCTTAACGTTGTATAAAACATCAATATAAATATGGTTTGTTTGCGATCAAAAGTTCGATAATCTTGAAAAAGAAGTGCTACAATGTGGGATGTTCTGTAGTACTATGTTTCTTCTAATTTTTCTAAAGAATCTTTTTTTTAGATAACATTATTAAAATCATGAAATATACGCATCATAAAATATACGTAGAGACAATGATTCTTGTGGATTTAATAAATTTTATTAGATACAAAACAATTTATCTATAAAAATATTCAAAATCGACTTCTGATTCAACAAATTTGATTGTTTGACTTTCAAATAATTTAGTCATTGATCTAAATAATTTTGTTTGCTCCCAAATTATTTGAATCAAATAATTTAGTTGGGTTCTCAAAAGAAAATTGTATTACTTAATTTTCCTCTTTAACTGAAAAAATTCGACATTTTCGTTTGATAATGTCGTGGAGACAATATCACGCACGGCCCATCGTTGCTAAGAAATTATCTACAGACATTTTGAATTTTACTTAAACTTTTTTGCTTGAACTTTGTTTAAAAAGCTTGTCCTACCGTGTTATGCACACTATTTCACTAATTTGATCTAATTAATATCTCAAGATAATTATCGTAGTTGCTTGCAAAATGGCAAAAGACTATTTTATCCAGTTAATCCTACCTACACATAAGCAGAGATGTACGCGTCACGACATACAGAATGTCCGGATTTAGATATCCAAACATTAGTATATAAGTAGAACTCGTTAAACATCGTTAAACAACTCATTAAACAAAAAACTCCTATACTATTTTGTATACTACCGTAGTAATTGAGATATTAATGAGAGAAAATTTCACAATCAGTCAATGCACGAACGGACGAGCTCTGTAAAGCAATCTGACAAAAAATGTTTTAGATCTGTTTCCTGATCTCCTAGCAATGCTAAACATAGGCATGTTGTCCGAAATCACGCGTATATCGCAGGATTCACAATGTTATTCCGACTTTCGCTGTCATCCAGTTTCCATTGTTGTAAGGAAATAGTCAACAAGTCCAAAATATGTCTTTTTAAATTGCTTACAGAGCTCATGCCACCGCATCGCATGCACTTACTCGCTAATATTCCTTCATTAATATTTCAATAATTACCATTGGTAGCACTCACAAAATGGATAGAGAATTGTTCTATATAGTTTAATGAAAGTTCGCCCTGCACGAGTAGTTGAACACTTAAATCCGGACACTGTATATATAAACAGATCACACATCTTGATACACAATATTATTGATACATAATATCAATAATTCGGATGTTTTGTAGAATGTTATGAAAATGTCGTTATATCTACAATTAGAAGCCATTTATTCTATTGTTAAAAAAGATAAAATTATGGGGAAAAGTATAGTTTCTAAAATTATTGTAAAATGACAAACTATGTGTAATAATTTTTTTCACCTGTTCTTACCAAGTTGTTCTAAGTTGAGTAGGATAAATTCATCGTTGTCTGGTATCCATGTATCTATAGAAGACGGATATTTCATCCAATGCGTATTCATGGCCATATTGTAGGACCTATTGTTATAATACTTGAGATTTGATTGCAGAATAACAGTTATAGGTACTTTCACCTTGTCGGCTAACGTCTCTGGTCTAACAGTTTTAAAATGTACCTTCGCTAACTTTTGTTTACGAAACATTTGTACGTATACTTCATAATGATAAGTTGGTGTTAACCATGAATCTATTATCTCTTTTATTTTTAAATTTCCATGTTTTTCTGGAGGGGACATTAGGTCCATCATATCCCATAAATTCTCGTTTCTGGTGAAATAACAATACAAGGATTTGGAATTTTGCTCACATGCGACTTTTATAAAGACTTTAATAAAAAAGAATTTATCAAAACTATCCATCCCGTTTATGTAATTTAACTCATATACATGAAGACACAGGGGTAAGATAATTATATTTGGTGAAAACGAGTTGAATTATGTTTCAATAAACAATTGTACTTTTCGCATATACTTGGAATAATTCGTATGACTAAAAAAAAATATAAAATTCTGAGAAAGAACACAGCGGAATACGTAATTATAAATACAGAAATGTGAAAACTATTAGATTTTTTTTTAATTAGATGAATTTTGATTTGTTTGTTAATATTTTCAAATTTTCTTTTCAATAAATGTCGAATTTCAGAAGATATTACAATTTATTATCAATATTCCTTGTAGGTTTAAAATGATTATAGGTTTGTATTACATACATTATTACATACATACGACTAAATTACATAAATATATATAATGACGGATTATTTTATAGAAAGAGAAAAGAATAATCTTTATATCTCAAAAATAAATTTTCAAGTACTTTTCTCATTGTAGAAATATATAACCAGCTATTTTCTATATAAAACTTTTTAATTTTACATGGAAAAATGCTAGAAGATCT